TAAGTGAGTATTGTTTTAGGGCACTATGTAAGGCATATCGCCCCTGTGACATCGGAAACAGAACAGTATACTGGCAAATTTCACGGTACATGTGTTAAATACATACGAAAGAATTTCTAACACTTTTAGTGATGAGTTGTACGATAGTAAAATGAAAACGAGGTTCTCTGATCAAGGCTTTGTTGCTTGTACAGCTGTTGAAATAGTTTCTGAAAGATAACGTGGCTAGTTAGCTGTAACCAACAACATAACTTTGTGTTTTACACGAGGTCTGCGTTTATCGACACACGTATTTCGGGGACTAATCTCCTTCTGGCTTCGTCACATACAGACGCACACGTTGTTCCTATGACGACCAGTCAACACGACTTCGTGCCTGATGAGGTGCTATCAGTCCTGTACATGATTTATCATGTGAGTCATTAATAATTTTCTCCATTGTACAAATATTCCTCCGCGTTATCAAGGTCGACGTGACTTTGGCTGGGGTAGGGGCAGAGGAGATTCTCAAAATACTAATATCCAAAGAATTAAATCCATTCGATTTGTGATCAGTCTGTTTGGGACTTGCTTTTACTATCAAAGTAATTGCACGAATATATTGTGGTGACCGAATATGTATGCTGATATATAATGGCTGAATATACAAGCTGATACGTCACATCTGAAAAACAATCTGATATACTTACTATATAAGTTGAAATATCACGTCTGAATAAAGAAACCGAAATACATTATTGATATTGATACGTACGAGCTGATATACAATTGCGGAACAGAAAAAGCTGATATATCATGGATTCATATACAACCTGATAAACAACAACTGAATATGTAAATCTGATATATCATGGATGCATATACAACCCGATAAACAACAACTGAATATGTAAAACTGATATATCATGGATGCATATACAACCTGATAAACAACAACTGAATATGTAAATCAGATATATCATGGATGCATATACAACCTGATAAACAATACCTGAATATGTAAACTGATATATCATGGATGATATACAACCCGATCTGAATATGTAAAACTGATATATCATGGATGCATATATAACCAACCTGATGATAAACAAACTGATATAACATACAACTGAACAATGTAAAACTGATATATCATGGATGCATATACAACCTGATAAACAACAACTGAATATGTAAAACTGATATATCATGGAATATGTAAAACTGATATATCATGGATGCATATACAACCTGATAAACAACAACTGAATATGTAAAACTGATATATCATGGATGCATATACAACCTGATAAACAACAACTGAATATGTAAAACTGATATATCATGGATGCATACGACACCTGAATATTTAAAACCATGGATGATAAACAACAAAACAACAACTGAATATGTAAAACTGATATATCATGGATGCATATACAACCTGATAAATAAACAACAACTGAATATGTAAAACTGATATATCATGGATGCATATACAACCTGATGAACAAAAACTGATATATCATACAACCTGATAAACAACAACTATATGTAACCTGCATATACAACCTGATAAACAACAACTGAATATGTAAAACTGATATATCATGGATGCATATACAACCTGATAAACAACAACTGAATATGTAAAACTGATATATCATGGATGCATATACAACCTGATAAACAACAACTGAATATGTAAATCTGATATATCATGGATGCATATACAACCTGATAAACAACAACTGAATATGTAAAAGTGATATATCATGGATGCATATACAATCCGATATGCCATAACTGAACATAAAGATTATACACGTATATATGATTATACAATAGATTGATGACCAAATATAAAAGCTTGTTATATGCTACGGCTGAATATTACAAGCTGGTATATCGTGGCTGAATAGACAAACTCATATAGTATGGCTGAACATAAAAGCTGACATACCATTGCTGAATATAACAGATGATACATTACAACTGAATATACAAGCTGAAGTATAACAGCTGAATGTACAAGCTGCTATCATTGGAAATTCATATCCACGCACTAGTGCATGCTCAGGGCGCTGGTATTTCCCCCCCTCGATCATTGAATGTCAATCTCAACGGCACATCTTATTTATTATCAATCTCAAGTCCCTAGGCAGCATACAACTCGTGCTGTCACAAGGCGCACCGAGTTATTGCGGTTTTCTCATCCTAACGAGGAACCCATTCACAGCTGGTTGGACTGGGACAGATAGTCCAAGTTTACGGCACGTTGCTGTACCCGCAACTAGGTGTTTGCACATTTTCATGTGGCCACCCTCTGGTCATATACCAACGGATTCGTGGATTCTTTTAAGTGCACAGGGTTGTGTACTGTACACCAGGGTTGTGACAACACTGAAAGAGCCTGCACAAAGTTTGATCATGAACATTAGTTGAGAACTTCAAGTTCTCTATATAACACCTGAGCTAGCACATTAATTATTCAAACTGCTAAACCATGGTTGATTTTCAAAACTGGTGTAACAAAGCAGAAACAACTATGTTTGATCGCAGATATACGATGTCTCATACTTGAGTATAAAGGATGACATACCTATCTGAATATACCCTCTCACATGACATTATGACATTAGACAATTATGACAGACAAAGTTGAGTATAAAGGATGACATACCTATCTGAATATATCATCTCACATGCCATTATGACATTAGACAAAGTTGAGTATAAAGGATGACATACCTATCTGAATATATCATCTCACATGCAATTATGACATTAGACAAAGTTGAGTATAAAGGATGACATACCTATCTGAATATATCATCTCACACATGAATATATCATCTCACATGCAATTATGACATTAGACAAAGTTGAGTATAAAGGATGACATACCTATCATCTCACATGCCAATTATGACATTAGACAAAGTTGAGTATAAAGGATGACATACCTATCTGAATATATCATCTCACATGCCATTATGACATTAGACAAAGTTGAGTATAAAGGATGACATACCTATCTGAATATATCATCTCACATGCCATTATGACATTAGACAAAGTTGAGTATAAAGGATGACATACCTATCTGAATATATCATCTCACATGCCATTATGACATTAGACAAAGTTGAATATAAAGGATGACATACCTATCTGAATATATCATCTCACATGCAATTATGACATTAGACAAAGTTGAATATAAAGGATGACATACCTATCTGGATATATCATCTCACATGCCATTATGACATTAGACAAAGTTGAATATAAAGGATGACATACCTATCTGAATATATCATCTCACATGCCATTATGACATTAGACAAAGTTGAATATAAAGGATGACATACCTATCTGAATATATCATCTCACATGCCATTATGACATTAGACAAAGTTGAATATAAAGGATGACATACCTATCTGAATATATCATCTCACATGCCATTATGACATTAGACAAAGTTGAGTATAAAGGATGACATACCTATCTGAATATATCATCTCACATGCCATTATGGAGTGTTGTATTTGCTTTTACTAACATATAACATCACGGCAATGGATATGTGTGTGTCTGCTGCACTCTCTGCCTTAAGTAACTGTAAACGTTAATATATTGATGTTTTGTGTGTGTGTGTGTGTGTGTGTGTGTGTGTGTGTGTGTGTGTGTGTGTGTGTGTGTGTGTGTGTGTGTGTGTGTGTTCGTTCGGTCGTGTGTGTGTGTTCGTTCGTTCGTGTGTGTGTTTGTGTGTGTGTGTTCGTGTGTGTGTTCGTGCGTGCTAGATGAAGGCCAATTCTAGCACGGGTCTTCACTGGCCAATACTAGCTCACATGTAGCACATGCAGTGTCTCCTTTGGCAAGTGTCTGTATTCGAAATATGCCCATGTTCCCATCAGTGAACAGGTAACCGACAGGGTGAGATGGCCATGTGTCGCCTGTTACCCTTCTAGCCACTTGCAGGCAACTTCGGTTGTATATGTCTTAGGGAGCTGAGCATGAAAACTGACAACGAACCGATTGCGTCATGTCCATTCATTATGAATGGTGCAGTATTAATGAAGAAATAAATAAATAAGTGCAATGATAAGGGACAAGAATGTTTGATGTATCTGCCTCAACTAACTATGGATATTATTAAGATTGAAAGACATGTATGCTCTCCAAGTACATATTGGAATCTGAAATGGACTCAAATTGAGCAGATGGTCTGACGATATTGTTATCGAGTTTTAAGAGTACGGATAGTTATTTTAACCCGGCGCGCTGAGTCACTAACTGGGAAAGTAAGTGATTTCAGTTTTACTCCGCTTTTAGCAATATTCCAGCAATATGACGGCGGGGGATGGGCTTCACACATTGTATCCATGTGGGGAAGAGAACACTTTACCCACTGGGCTACCCAACCGCCACCCTAACTGAGATAACATATTACAACCACACTCAGCAAATAAATACATGCATGTGAATGAGTGCAGGTTGTGTGACACCGCAGTAACCCAGCAGGCTGTGGACATTTAATAGTCGAACTAGAGCCACACAAACCAGTGACACAAATCTTTCGCATGAATCAACTCTAGCGGCTTAGATGGAACCATTCAGCAAGACATACTGCAGTCGCCTCTTTACACCAGGATCAGCTTGTAAGGACCTACTCTGACCACAAGGAACATCAATACAGGAGTTGCTAAACCTATTGTCATCCGGTGCGTTGGGAAAATATCACCAGGCACAAATACTTTAATATTTTATATATATCAACGTTGAACTTCGATTCAACACACACATTTGTACCCTACGTATAACATTGTTCATGTGTGATAGACATCTCTGTTAATGTTGCGTTGGTAAAAATGACAATTCCCAGTATTATCTCAGCTTGACACTAAGGGACCACCTTCATAGTTAACTCCTCAACAATTGATCCAAACCTTCCAACTAAGTCAGATAATCTCTCGGCTATATCCGACGTCAATGGTTCACAATTGCCTTACCTGATATGGAGCTTAATGTCAGAAACACAGCAAGTGGCCGCCTTGGAAACGGAGACATCCTCCTTATTTGGAGAAAACTGTCTGATCTGCAAGTCTTCACTTTATCCAGTCTTTAGACAGTAACGCGATGCAATATTAAACGCCGATACAGTATGTCAAATTGCAGCTGAGCGGATTTAGATAATTATGCACCTCCTGAATGATATTTCGATCTGCAGGTTATCATTTGTTTGATGTGGAAATCACCTTCTGCTCATGCATTTGTAACAAAGTAAATGTTGTTTCCCATTGCACGACACCGCGTCGTTCACTTTACAAGATAAGGTCTCACAAAAGAAAAACTGCGGTAGCGACAGTCTCTATGTTTGCGGTAGCGACTAAGTATCTATCTTTGCGGTAACAGCCGCGTATCTTTGCTGTAATGTAATATTAGATACGACACATAACTAAACTTTCCTCGTCGTGGGGAATTTCCTCAGCTTTCAGATAAGGATCATGTGTCTTAAACGTTTATGCCATGGAGAAAGGAACCAAATCAGGGCGTTGGCGGCCAAGTATAATCCTCACGAAGAGTGCAACGTAAGATCAATAACACTGATAAAGGTTGAGTTCGTCAACCACGTCACACACAGATATCTTGTAAATGTACGATATTGTGAGCATTGCGGATATTGATATGCATGTACAGCACGAGCTCCTTACACTGATTATTCTCTGCGATATTGATATACATGTACAGCACGAGCTCCTAACACTGATTATTCTCTGCGATATTGATATACATGTACAGCACGAGCTCCTTACACTGATTATTCTCTGCGATATTGATATGCATGTACAGCACGAGCTCCTCACACTAATTATTATCTGCGGTATTGATATACATGTACAGCACGAGCTCCTTACACTGAATTATTATCTGCGATATTGATATACATGTACAGCACGAGCTCCTTACACTGATTATTCTCTGCGATATTAATATACATGTAGTACGAGGTCTTGTGGGAGTTCAGTCATCCAGATGAACATTTTTATACAAGATGCAGGATGTGAGATACAATGATGCACATCCTCAATAGCGAACGTTTCTATCTATACCACAGTATCCTCTGGGAACTAACACACAGCGGATGTTCACAATAGTGCTTAGCAGCCTCTGCAACTGTTTTTAAAGTGAGTGAGAGAGTTTGATTTGTATCAGTGTTCATGGTTTTATCACAATGCGGAAGCTTATGTCGGAGGAAAGCCCAAAGTGATGCGGTCACAGACGCACTGATACGCCTGGAGTCAAACACAGCCCACAGTGTAAGGTTTGTGGCGTGTCTAAGTGGTGCAACAGGTTTGACTCGACATCAGCATGTCGATATAGTCCTGGGGCTCCTTTCACGAAGCAACCTTTACTAAGGTTAACCTTAACTCCCATTCTTTAACTTTGCACTAAGGTTACCTTAGTGACTTAAGACAACCTTAGTGCTTTGAGAAAGGAGGCCCTGAACTGTTCAGCTGTATAGTTATCATAGTGGCAACGCCAGACTTTCAACTCAACAGGAGTGGTCCCTCTGTCTCCCCTGTCTGTCCATGGTACTGTTTGTATTACACATAATGGGTATGGTCCTGTATGGTGTTCCAGGTCAGGGTCTACACTGTCCTGTATGGTGTTCTAGATCAAGGTCTACACTGTCCTGTATGGTGTTCCAGGTCAGGGTCTACACTGTCCTGTATGGTGTTGTAGATCAAGGTCTACACTGTCCTGTATGGTGTTCCAGGCCACGGTCTACACTGTCCGGTATGGTGTTCCAGGTCAAGGTCTACACTGTCATGTATGGTGTTCCAGGTCAAGGTCTACACTGTCCCGTATGGTGTTCCAGGTCAAGGTCTACAGTGTCCTGTAAGGTGTTCCAGGTCAAGGTCTACACTGTCATGTATGGTGTTCCAGGTCAAGGTCTACACTGTCCTGTATGGTGTTCCAGGTCAAGGTCTACAGTGTCCTGTAAGGTGTTCCAGGTCAAGGTCTACACTGTCCTGTATGGTGTTCCAAGTCAAGGTCTACACTGACCTGTATGGTGTTCCAGGCCACGGTCTACACTGTCCGGTATGGTGTTCCAGGTCAAGGTCTACACTGTCATGTATGGTGTTCCAGGTCAAGGTCTACACTGTCCTGTATGGTGTTCCAGGTCAAGGTCTACAGTGTCCTGTACGGTGTTCCAGGTCAAGGTCTACACTGTCCTGTATGGTGTTCCAGGTCAAGGTCAACACAGTCCTGTATGGTGGACCAGGTCAGGATCTACAGTGTCCTGTATGGTGTTCCAGGTCAAGGTATACACTGTCATGAGTGATGTTCCAGATCAAGCTCTACACTGTCCTGTATGGTGTTCCAAGTCAAGTTCTACACTGTCCTGTATGTTGTTCCAGGTCAAGGCTTACACTGTCCTGAATGGTGTTCCAGGTCAAGGTATACACAGTCCTGTATGGTGTTCTAGATCAAGGTCTACACTGTCCTGTATGGTGTTCCAGGTCAGGATCTACACTGTCCTGTATTGTGTTACAGGTCACGGTCTACACTGTCCTGTATGGTGTTCTAGATCAAGGTCTACACTGTCCTGTATGGTGTTCTGGGTCAGGATCTACACTGTCCTATATGGTGTTCTAGATCAAGGTCTACACTGTCCTGTATGGTGTTCCAGATCAGGATCTACACTGTTCTGTATGGTGTATTAGATCAAGGTCTACACTGCCCTGTATGGTGTTCCAGATCAAGGTCTACACTGTCCTGTATGGTGTTCGCGGTCAGGATCTACACTGTCCTGTATGCTGTTTCAGCTCACGGTCTACACTGTCCTGTATGGTGTTCCAGGTCAGGATCTACACTGTCCTGTATGGTGTTCGAGGTCAGGATCTACACTGTCATGTATGGTGTTCGAGGTCAGGATCTACACAGTCCTGTATGATATTCCAGGTCACGGTCTACACTGTCCTGTATGGTGTTCCAGGTCAAAGTCGACACTATTCTGCATGTTGTTCCAGGTCACGGCCTGCACTGTCCTGTATGGTGTTCCAGGTCAAGGTCTACACTGTCCTGTATGGTGTTTCAGGTCACGGCCTGCACTGTCCTGTGTGTTGTTACAGGTCACGACCTGCACTGTCCTGTATGGTGTTCCAGGTCACGGTCTACACTGTCCTGTATGGTGTTCCAGGTCAAAGTCTACATTGTCCTGTATGGTGTTCCACGTCACTGTCTACACTGTCCTGTATGGTGTTCCAGGTCTGGGTCTACACTGTCCTGTATGGTGTTTCAGGTCAGGATCTACACTGTCATGTATGGTGTTCCAGGTCAAGGTCTACAGTGTCCTGTATGTTGTTCCAGGTCAAGGTCTACACTGCCCTGTATGGTGTTCCAGGTCACCGTCTGCACTGTCCTGTATGGTGTTCATGGTCAGGATCTACACTGTCCTGTATGGTGTTCGAGGTGAGGATCTACACAGTCCTGTATGATGTTCCAGGTCACGGTCTACACTGACCTGTATGGTGTTCCAGGTCACGGTCTACACTGTCCTGTATGGTGTTCCAGGTCACGGTCTACACTGTCCTGTATGGTGTTCCAGGTCACGGTCAACACTTTTCTGTACAGTGTTCCAGGTCAAGGTCTACACTGTCCTGTATGGTGTTCCTGGTCAGCATCTACACTGTCATGTATGGTGTTTCAGGTCACGGTCTACACTGTCCTGTATGGTGTTCCAGGTCAAGCTCTACAGAGTCCTGTATCGTGTTCCAGGTCACGGTGTACATTGTCTTGAATGGTGTTCCAGGTCACGGAGTACATTGTCCTGTATGGTGTTCCACGACAGGATCTACACTGTCCTGTATGGTGTTCCAGGTCACGGTCTACACTGCCATGTATGTTGTTCCAGGTCAGGATCTACAGTCCTGTATGGTGTTCGAGGTCACGGTCTACACTCTCCTGTATGGTGTTCCAGGTCAAGGTCTACAATGTCTTGTATGGAGTTCCAGGCCAGGGTCTACACTGCTCTGTATGGTGTTCCAGGTCATGGTCTGCACTGTCCTGTATGGTGTTCCAGGTCACGGTCAACACTGTCCTGTATGGTGTTCCAGGTAAGGATCTACACTTTCCAGTATGGTCTTCTAGATCAAGGTCTACACTGTCCTATATGGTGTTCAATGTCAGGATCTACACTGTCCTGTATGGTGTTCCAGGTCAGGATCAACACTGTCCTGAATGGTGTTCTAGGTCTGGATCTACACAGTCCTGTATGATATTCCAGGTCACGGTCTACACGGTCCTGTATGGTGTCCCAGATCACAGTCTACACTGTCCTGCATGGTGTGCCAGGTCACGGCCTGCACTGTCCTGTATGGTGTTCCAGGTCAAGGTCTACAGAGTCCTGTATGGTGTTCCAAGTCACGGTCTACACTGTCCTGTATGGTGTTCCAGGGCACGACCTGCACAGTCCTGTATGTTGGTCCAGGTCACGGCCTGCACTGTCCTGTATGGTGTTCCTGGTCAAGGTCTACACTGTCCTGTATGGTGTTCCAAGTCCTGGTCTACACTGTCCTGTATGGTGTTCCAGGTCACGGTCTACAGTGTCATGTATGGTGTTCCAGGTCAAGGTCTACACTGTCCTGTATGGTGTTCCAGGTCAAGGTCTACACTGTTCTGTATGGTGTTCCAGGTCAAGGTCTACACTGTACTGTATGGTGTTCCAGGACAAGCTTTACACTGTCCTGTATGGTGTCCCAGGTCAAGGTCTACACAGTCCTGTATGGTGTTCCAGGTCAGGGACTACACTGTCCTGTATGGTGTTCCAGGTGAGGATCTACACTTTCCTGTACGGTGTTCCAGGTCAAGGTCTACACTGTCCTATATGGTGTTCCAAGTCAGCATCTACACTGTCCTGTATGGTGTTCCAGGTCACGGTGTACATTGTCCTGTATGGTGTTCGACGACAGGGTTTACACTGTCCTGTATGTTGTTCCAGGTCACGGTGTACACTGTCATGTATGTTGTTCAAGGTCAGGATAAACAGTCCTGCATGGTGTTCCAGGTTACGGTCTACACTGTCCTGTATGGTGTTCTAGATCAATGTCTACACTGTCCTGTATGGTGTTGCAGGTCAAGGTGTACACTTTCCTGTATGGTGTTCGAGGTCAGGATCTACACTGTCCTGTATGGTGTTCCAGGTCACGGCCTGCACTGTCCTGTGTGTTGTTCCAGGTCACGGAATGCACTGTCCTGTATGGTGTCCCAGATCACAGTCTACACTGTCCTGCATGGTGTGCCAGGTCACGGCCTGCACTGTCCTGTATGGTGTTCCAGGTCAAGGTCTACAGAGTCCTGTATGGTGTTCCAGGGCACGACCTGCACAGTCCTGTATGTTGGTCCAGGTCACGGCCTGCACTGTCCTGTATGGTGTTCCTGGTCAAGGTCTACACTGTCCTGTATGGTGTTCCAAGTCCTGGTCTACACTGTCCTGTATGGTGTTCCAGGTCACGGTCTACAGTGTCATGTATGGTGTTCCAGGTCAAGGTCTACACTGTCCTGTATGGTGTTCCAGGTCAAGGTCTACACTGTTCTGTATGGTGTTCCAGGTCAAGGTCTACACTGTATTGTATGGTGTTCCAGGACAAGCTTTACACTGTCCTGTATGGTGTCCCAGGTCAAGGTCTACACAGTCCTGTATGGTGTTCCAGGTCTGGGACTACACTGTCCTGTATGGTGTTCCAGGTGAGGATCTACACTTTCCTGTACGGTGTTCCAGGTCAAGGTCTACACTGTCCTATATGGTGTTCCAAGTCAGCATCTACACTGTCCTGTATGGTGTTCCAGGTCACGGTGTACATTGTCCTGTATGGTGTTCGACGACAGGGTTTACACTGTCCTGTATGTTGTTCCAGGTCACGGTGTACACTGCCAAGTATGGTGTTCCAGGTCACGGTCTGAATTGTCCTGTATGGAGTTCCAGGTCAGGGTCTACACTACCCTGTATGGTGTCCCAGGTCAAGGTCTACACTGTCCTGTATCGTGTTTCAGGTCAGGGTCTACACTGTCCTGAATGGTGTTCTACATCAGGGTCTACCCTGTCCTCTCTGGTGTTCCAGATCACGGTCTACACTGTCCTCTATGGTGTTCTAGATCACCGTCTATACTGTCCTCTATGGTGTTCGAGGTCAGGATCTACACTGTCCTGTATGGTGTTCAAGTTCAGGATCTACACTGTCATGTATGGTGTTCGAGGTCAGGATCAACACTGTCCTGTATGATATTCCAGGTCACGGTCTACACTGTCCTGTATGGTGTTCCAGGTCAAGGTCTACACTGTTCTGTATGGTGTCCCTGGTCAGGATCTACACTGTTCTGTATGGTGTTCCAGGTCAGGATCTACACTGTCCTGTATGGTGTTCCAGGTCAAGGTCTACACTGTCCTGTATGGTGTCCCTGGTCAGGTTCTACACTGTCCTGTATGGTGTTCTACATCACGG